AAAAACAGTGGGTTATGTCTGTGAAGGTAAACAGCTGGGAAATAAATTGCATGTTTATTTTAGATCTAAACAGTGTTCTGTGCTCATCTGTGCAGCCAACCACTGAACAGTTAGCATGTTTTGCTCAAACTTTCACCATGGCATTAGAGCTGGTACACCGTTGTTGCTTGCGAAATCATAATGACAGCGCCGTGAGTGGAAGTTTACAGATTAAGGGGAGGTAATATTATAATGAGATCCCTTTGCCACGTCACCAAAGGAGCGAAATCAGACGCGCTCGTGTTCTCAGAGGCTTGCAGAAAAAGGCTTCCCAAAACAAAGTTACTAGGTTAATTTTTTTCACGTTTCCTTGGTTGGTAGATGCACTGGGGACCTGATTATAGCACTTAAAACCTGGAAAAGTCAGATTTTCATGATATGTCACCTTTAATGTTACACCTTATTTAAAATAAAACAAAGCAAAGAACAAATGTCTTATCATTTATTATAAAACGTAGCATTACATCACTTTGTTGTCCGCGACAAAAAGTTGTTCTGCCATGTAGGGCTGTGCAAAAAATTTTATGCGATTTTCATACTCATCTCGTCAGTAAAGCCGGTTCTGTGATTAGTAGTAAATCTCCAGCATGTTCTTTCAGATGGAGCGGCATTTACTACATAGAGCCATAGATCACTGACAAGCTACGCAAAATCGCGTTTATAATCGGCAATGAATCGTCTGCGATTTTGAACGCGATTTTGCGTAGCTTGTGAGTGAACTACGGCTCTGTGTAGTAAATGCCGCTCCATCTGAAAGCACGTGCTGAAAATTTACTACTAATCACAGAACTGGCTTTACTGAGGAGATGAGCATGAAAATCGCATTCGATTTTTTGCACAGCCCTACTGCCATGGTACAAGTCCTTGTGGATATGTGGAGATTCTCCTGTTCCGTTGTCGTCTCTTTTTTTGTAGTTTGAAATAAATTATCTGTTCTTTGATATTTATTTGCCGCCGTCACGGCTATAATGCTTCGAGCCGCTTCTTCTTCGGCTTTTGCCGTGTTACAACATGGCAACATGCCCGTGGACACTGCAGACTAGCGGTTTGCATGTGTACTGCACGTCGACGCGGAAGTATAAATGAAAACCGACACACATCCTACAGCGTAGAGGCTACGGCATATGTCCGATGCAGAAGTATAAATCTGCCTTTAGTATTAGCTTAAAACTGCAGTCCGTAAGTTTTGCCTCTGTCGCCATCTCTGTTTGAAAACCTGCAATTTTAGCTGTTTGCGGAATTATCTTCCTTGCATGGGTTGTGCGCCGGCACGGTGTTCTGACGATTTGTGCTACCCTGTCAGATTTTGCTACCTCCCATTAAAACAGAGGTAAAATTATTTAAAGCATAATTCGATAGTGAAAATTGCTACCTATCAGATTTTGCTTACAGCATTATATTAAGGTGTGAGGCTTTATTAACATGTACACCTACCCCAACCCTAAACCTACCCTTACAATGTGATAAATACAGTGTTGGTAGCATAATCTGATAGGTAGCATTATTTGTCAGAATAACTGGCTCCAGCGTAGATGAATCTAATGTTTTGAGGAGTATGTGTGGCATTCAGTCACCGCACCGATGTGGATACTGTACTTCGCAATCACAGATTCTAGCCTACATCTTGGAATATATGACCCAAATAATAATTTTCACCGTATATTGTTATCTGAACAAGTAAGTAACAAGTCTGCCATGTTTGTTCTGACCAACTGAGGAAAAAAGCATTACAATAAATCGTGCTACCAATGGTGATTTAATCTAAAGATCGGTTAGCTCATATCACATCAAACCATGCAAATCATTATTATTGTTATACTTTATTCTCAAATTATTAATGTTAACAACATCAGCATTGCCTATAGTTTGTATTAGCGGGTAGATTCCAATTTCTGTACGGTCTAATCTCTAATTGTCATTAGGGATGCTCCGATCCGCCTTTTTTGCCTCCGATACCGATTCCGATACATAGGGTTCGCATGCCAATCGAATTTCATATTAAGAAATTCTTTTAATCCAAAAAGCAAATTATGCTCCCTTCGAACTGGTTGTCTTTAAAAATACAAATCTTGTGTAATCCCAGGCTATCTGATATCAGAAGCACATTTAAAACCTGAATATAATTTAATTTCGTTCACATGTATTTCATAAACACATAATCCTTTCTGGATTCAAAATGATAAGTTTAATTATTCCAGCTGTGAAAAAATGCTATAAACGATTGGCCACCTGCAGGATCCTCACATGCGATAGACTAGTAGCCGGGACAACTTCTTTATGTACATTGTAAATCGGGCTAAAGTAAGGCGGTAGTTTTGAACACTGGGTGGTTATGTACTTGCTCAAATATTAATTTCTTTTACCCAAAAAAAGTTACGGACTGCAGCTTTAATGTTAGTTATATATTGGATAGATCTATGTGTAATCTGTGTGAAATATATGTTTTAAGTAGAAAATGTTGTTTAAACTGAAATTTGAAATGGAATGCTATAATGTACTCTTTGATCTCTCTCTCTCTATGATTTAACAGGAGGGGGCAATTAATTTTTCACGTAGGGCCACGTAGGTTTGGACAGCTTTTTTCCCTTAATAAATGAAATCATCATTTAAAAACTGCATTTTGTATTTACTTGCATTATCTTTGTGTAATATTTTAATTTGTTTGATCTCCTTATGACTGGTTTTGTGGTCCAGGGTCATATATATATTGATTGCTTGATTGTTTTAACAGTCCTAATGTATAAAGCCTCATAAATAAAGCTTTGATTATTTTTAACCATGGTGAAATTTGAATCCTTTCAGGCTAAACCGACATCCCAGGGAAAGAGTCATCATTTGTTGTTTCTTTTGCCTAAACGTGGCCCTCGAGCATTCAGCAGCTTCTGTGCTGCTCTTACGGCAACAGAGCAACAGCATCTCTGCAGACTGCTCATGGACTTTACTGAGAGAGACGTGAGTTGGTGCCTTCACTTCAGAATCACACCCACTTAGACTGACTTGACAGGTTTCTATAAGAACATAATGGTTGCAGTGATCATGCAGTGAGGGACCGGAAAAGTCTAGCAATGACAGCACATCTGATGAGAACCAGGGAAACAGATGTATTCAATAAGAAAAAAATTTCTATCTCCTTGATGTTTTGCACATAATGGAAGGAGAATAAAGCATATTTGTTTTCTTTATATTGAAATTTGTATTCGTTTTCTAAACACTATGTATAATCAACTATATTAAGTATTTTCTTTTCCCACAGAGGTCAGATCTGGGTCAGTGGAATAAAAGAGAGGGAGAGAGAGTAGGACTAAAGGGGAAGTTACAATGCAGCAATGTCAGTATTATGCACCAGTTTATTACCACACCCAAACTGCACTGATTCTTTCAAACAAAAACCAAATAAATACAAACTCTCCTTTCCTTTGTAATAGAGGATAATGAAATGACTGTAACTGTCATCGTGGTGTATATTCTGCATGTTGTGTATGTAGTCAGTGTAGAAAAGTGATTTTCTGTTTTGTTTTTTATCTTCACAGAAAAGCTTTTCAGAGCCATCGCTGTCCTTTCCAACTCAGGAATGTGTTATACCTGCGAAAAGAGCCCGGACTCATGGTGAGCACTTTACTGTGTTTGTGTTTGTGCAGAAAGCGCAAATTATACTTCAGTTTTAAAATGAACACTTATCGAACAAAGATAAACCAGGCTTTGTGCATACTATGCTAATTATGAGATTTATGTCATGCACACTCTATGCCAAATATCTGATACTGTTGTACACATCTTCTATCAAAGAAGATGGTCATATAAATTACTTTTTAAAATGGGTGATTAATTCGCTGTAGGTCTTTTTTTTTTCTCTGTGTGGTTATTACGTAATACACAGCCTTATGTACAGTGCCTTGCAAAAGTACTCATAACCCTTGAAATTTTCCACCTTTTGTCACGTTACAACAACCCTCTACATTGCGAGTAAATCACTCGCATATGCGACAAAATCTTCACTCTGGGCAATTAAATGATGTATAATATTTAGCCAATGGCTAATAAATTCTTAGATTTTACTTGCCAGTGTGCGAGTTGGAGGCTGAGTATAAGTTTAGCACAGATATATTTTCACTCGCCGAACACTCTGACTGAGCACTTCAGAGTTTCACTCTCCGTCAAGCGATCTGTGCTATTTATCATTTCATCTTATTTTCCTGTCAAAATAACGGAGTTCCTTTGGAATTCTTCAGCTTTGAAGAAATGCTGGGTTTTCCGGTAGTGGGCGGAACTAGTGCGCAAACGACAATCTCATTGGCTGGTGCTCACCTATTATCGTCCCTGTTTAGATTTCAGCA